ATTGTCTGTGCCCAGCCTTGTAATCATGTCACACTATCTGGGAAGCACTGATTCCTCCCAGACCTCGCCATACAGAGCTGCCATGCGCCATGCGTGTCCTGGCAGTGAAGCCGAGTGATGGCGGGCAGGTGGGTGGGCCGTGGAGAGCCGCTCCCAGAATGCCCTGGGCTTCTCATACAGACCATGGGAGGACATGGTCATGCTCTTCCCAGGAATTGGACCCAGTTCATGACCGTCTTGAAGGACAGTATGGGATAGCCACTTGTTACATCCCCAGCAATTGTGTTTACTCAAGGTCCGTCTTCCCTCTCATAATTTTGTGTTTGTTTTCACAGTGAGTGTTGAGAAGATCGACCTGAAAGGATTATCACACACAAAAAACGACAGAAGCGTTGAGTGTTCCTTTGAGGTAAGATGTTGTTTCTCTCCTCTCCTTGGAGGCGTCCTCGAGGCATGTGTCTCTTCATGTCCCGCAGTGAGGCTTTCCTTCCTGCACAGCAGTGGAGTGCCTGAGGTGGGCTTGGAGCCTAGCTGGGCGGGTGTCTCTGAGGTGGGCTAGAATGTTAGGGGATGCCCGCCTTGTCAGAGAGAAGCTAAGCTCTAGGGCTCATGAATGTAGTCCTGGTCACATGTAACTGGGACAGCGGCTGAACTGGCCTTTTTCCCTGGGGGAGGAGAGACATGATTGCATTCACTCTGTGTGTGGAAAAAATGAAATTCAAGCTATGGCACTGGGCACTCAAGGGCAGTAAATCCCTAGATGTATGTCCCTCGATGAGACACACACACATGCTGGCTGCATGCCTGTGGCCACTTGGTCTCTATGTAGGGAAATGTGCTCCAGACTGACGCACCATGGAGACAGGACTGTGTGTGATGAGAAGCCCACCACAGCAAAGGCCCAGACAGTCCAAAGCTTCCTTTTATTTCTTGCTAACAATGTTCAGGGAGGAAGTCCCAGGCCTCCGTCAGAACTCGGTCCTAGCTAACTCCAGCTTACTTTGTGCATGGCTGCAGGGTATATAGTCGTTGGCCTTGTGGTCCAAGATGGCAGCTGGGGCTCTAGTCCTCACACTTTCATCCTTCCTGGGGGACGGGATGCAAACTAGAGAGGAGGAGTGTGCTCGGGAGCACCTGGAGAAGGTGCTTCTTCCACTTACATTTTGTTGACAAGAATTAAGTTTTTTTGGTCTTACTTAGCTGCATAGGAAGCTGGGAATGGATTTCTGGCTTGTATTCATGATTCTGTTACTTAGCAGGCTAGACATTTCTTAGACTGTGTCTTCAGACATGGGCAGGTCATGAGGCTCTGCCCCGGCAGTAATGGAAAGCACACTCGAAAGACTCCTATTGAGTGTTTAGCACTGTGTGTGAGCCAGACCTATTTTTTAGGAGGTGCTGTGTGGTGAGAATCTGTTGTGTTGCAGATGGGTCTATTCTGAACACAAGGAGAACCCTTGGTACGGGTTCTGGAGGAGGTTGACTGTGGTACACTGGAGCACCATGACTCCATCAAGCCCCAGTGCTCAGGGTGGTGTGGGCAGCAGGTTCTAGAGAACCTGGACATGCTGTGGCCCCAGTCCACTTAGAAACGTGGATGTTCTGTGGTATTTGAAGAGATGATCCTGTGTGACTCCTTCCTGTTTGTCCTGGTTTTCTCTGGTATATCTGAGAGGGATGTTCTCAGCCCAGCAGGGACTGGTTGCAAAGATACTGCACATGGAGCCATCTTGGGAGCCAGCCTGCTAGTCTGTCACAGTAGGTTTGGATTCCCCTGGTCCTCAGTGCAGTTCCTGTGGCAAGGGAATCTGGGCTTTGGTGACATGGTACCCGGTACTGCCTATGGTACAGCTTTTCCATGTAGAGCAGGTAATGCAGCTTCCTGACCGGTCTGACAGTCACTGCTATGTGTTGAGGATGGCAGCAGAGGTCCCAGAGGTGAAGTGTGACTGGAACAAACATCTGCTCCAGATCTCCCTCACAGTTGTGGCTCAGAAATGACTGAGACATAACTGGGAGTCAGGTACTGTAAGGTTCCTAGAAGAAAGCAGAGAAAGAAAGCCTGGGGAACAAGCCCGTGAAAAGCTTCTGAGCCCAGTGCTAAACTGTGCTCTATACAAGTTGCAGCTCGGAGGTAGGACTGTTGTCTGCTGTAAAGCTGCTGTCCAGGCCTCTGAAGAGAATGAAGAGTTGATATCCGGAGTCTACAAAGAGCTCTCAGAGCTCAGTAAGGAGAACATTTGGTCAACAATGGGGCCAGACTTGGTAACATACGCCTTGAGTCCAGCATTGGGGGGCAGTGGGAGTGGATCTATATGAGTGCAGGGCCGCTCGGCCTACGTAGTTGCAGGTCAGCCAAGGCTATAGTGAGACATTGTCTCAAATAAAACAAGAGAAAGAGACAGACACAGGGAGGTTGGGGGGGACGAGAAGGAGGAGGAAAGAAGGAAGGTAAGAAAGAAAGGACAAAGGATTTAGACAGACAGTACCAAGAAGGAAGCCTGGCAGGCAGTGGGCATATGTGGAAAGGTGTGCCAGCAGCCTGGGCGCTGGTGCACAGTGTCAAAGAGCTTTTGTCATGGAAAGAGCTGACACGAGGAAGGTTGGCCACACTTGATTTTATAAAAGACTAGAGTTGTGTGTGCATCTGCTGCTGGGGGTTGGAGAGTGGCTAGCACACTGGGCAACTGACAGCTGTCAAAAGGCAAAGAGGCTCCCTCAGCAAGACCATCTGAGTGCGTGCCTGCTGGAGACCCTTGTTTACATATGTGCCGAAGAGCAGTATTCCTGATGCTTCTGGATGCAAGGTAAATGGTGTGAACGCCGTCCTGGGAGCTGTCCACAGCTGGGACATTGCTCAAGAGAAGGCTGCAGAGACACAGTGACCCAGACTCTCTTTCAGACAGGTAGATACTGTCAAGCCAGTTACATATAACTCTATAAAATGTAAGCTACTCCATGGTGAAGGAGCTTACCAGAGCTTCTGTGGAAAGGACAAGAGTCTGCTGAGGGCCCAGTGGTGATGTGCTCAACTGTCCTGAGTAGGAGAGGTTTCACAAGTGCCAAGACATCTGACCACTTGGGTGTGACTTACCATCAACTATAAATCAAAAGCAAACACTTTTTTTTTTTTAAACTTCCTATTGATAAAGTCTAAGGTTTTGCTCTGTGTCCCAGGCTGGCTTTGAACATGCCATCCTTTTGTTTCAGCCTCCCATTTGTGGCTTACCATAGTTGGTATCAAAATCTTAAAATGTTGTTTGCGAATCACTGTACCCGGCTCCACAGACTGGGCTCCGATAGCAGGTGAGGCTAGCGAGTGACAGCAGTGCCTGCTGCGCTGGTCCTTGGGCTCCAGGGAGCTCGTGGGTGGCCACATTGGTGGTGTCTGTTGGGCTCCCTGTGCTTTGGGAGAAGCCCGCAGCTTCTGCCCATAGTTCTCTTTTGTGGCTCTCTAGAGCTTTGTTTGATGGTTGCCAGTTAGGGTTTCTATTGCTGTGATAAACACCATGTCCAAAGCAGCTTAGGGAGAAAAGAGTTTGTTTCATCTCCCACCTCATGCTTACACTCTGAGGGAAGTCAGGACAGGAGCCAAGCAGGAGCTCAAGGCAGGAAGTGAAGCAGAGGCCATGAAGGGTGCTGCTCACTGGCCCCTCCCACTCCTTACACTGCTGGGCAGCGAGTGACACGGCCCACTGTGCCTGGGGCTGGGCCTCACATATAAATCAGCCAAGAAAGTGCACTACAGCCTCGCCTGCAGGCCAATTGGCCGAAGTAATTTTCTCAGCCTTCCTAAGGCTGTGACCTTTTAATACAGTTGGTGACCCAACCATATAATTCATTTTCATTGCCACTTCATTGAAACATCGTGTGAGGCTTCCTGCTCCTTCCTGTGCAGTCAGGTTCGTCTCTGCTGCAACTGCACTTGCTAGTTCCAAGGAGGCCCCGCCAGTCTTAGGACACACATGGGGGAGCGTATCTGAGAAAAGAAAAATATCTGAGGCTCCTCAGGAGTGTGGGTGATGTCGAGGCGGAGGCGCGGCGGTGGCGGTGGCGGCGTGCCATTTCTGAAGCCTGGTGGTGACTGAGTTTAATTGCCTGGGATTACAAGACAGTATTAGTACAGTACACACCTCAAAAGTCACTGTGCTCATTATGTCTTAAATGTTTGTTTTCATTTGAGAGCTTTTTGTTGTTGTTTGCTTTTTGTTTGTTTGTTTGTTTTTCAAGACAAAGTTTCTCTGTGTAGCCCTGGCTGTCCTAGAATTCACTCTGTAGACTGACCAGGCTGGCCGAGAACTCAGATCTGTCTGTCTTGGTGACCTGAGTTTCGAAAAATGTTTTATTTTTTCATTAATAGTTCATGATAAGCCACATACAAGTCAGATGTTTTGGCACCTGTGAACCCCTCCTACTTGGGACAGTTAAAGGTGTCTGTTACCACCACCGCAGCTTGAGGCTGTGTTGAACTAGCCAGGCAAGGTGGTGAGCCTATACAAGAGCATAGGGTGACTGGCAGCACCAGCCAGCCGGACGCTTTCCTGGCTCATCCAGGTCTGTCCTCCCAGAGTCGTGGTGGTTGTAGTTGTTGTCATTGTGTGCTGGCCTCCCCCCAGACAGGGTCTCTCTGTGTAGCCCTGGCTGTCCTGACACTTTGTAGACCAGGCTGGCCTTGAATTCACAGAGACCACTTGCCTCTGCCTTTTGAGTACTGGGATAAAAGTGTGTGCCACCACCACCTGGCAAGTCCTCCATTTTAACAGTGTCTAGAGTCAGGCAGTACCACCGGATGCTTCCTGTTGGAGATGCCGTACCTGGCCCCCACTGGCCCCTACTGGCCCCCACTGGCCGCTGATGATGGCTTGGCTATGGCTTCTTTCTATTTCATTTTGTTTTTTGAGACAGAATTCTCTCTGTAGTGTCAACTGTCCTAGAACTCTCACTGTAGTATGTAGACCGGAATGGTCTTGAACTCACAGAAACCCTCTTGCCTTTGCCTCCTGGGTGCTGCACCTAAAGGAGTGTGCCATTGTGTCTGCTCCGCTTTTCTGTTTCCTAGCTGGTCTGCCTGGCGGCTCACTGGCTTCAGGCTTTCCTCCAGGGCCTTCCTGGGGCCTATGCTGCCTCCTATACCAGACCATTGCTCTCCCTCCCCTCTGCCTCAGCCCCTGAGAGTGGACTGCAGCCTCCAGCCTCCATACTGTGTTTTCCTTAAGATGTCTGGGAGGCTGGGTAGAGTCGGGGAGCTTCCACTGTGCCTCCTCCCAGGTACCTTGTGGGCTGGTGTGCACACAGCCCCTGCTGGTACAGAAGGAAGCACATGGCACTTTAGTGGCTCCAGACAGAGGTGTGGAGCTAGTCTGAGCCTGTGTGTTGCTTGCCTGTTGTGTCTTTCTTGTGTGATTCGAGATTCAAGTGAGGAAGTAGTCTGTGCTGTGTGCCTCAACCCTCCTGCAGTGCCCGCTTACGGAGCGGGAAGGAATGGGTTCCTGGAGGCAGATGGCAGATGGCAGATGCCAGCTCTGATTGGGTGTGTACTGCAGGTCTACTACATCTCCCTGCCTTTGTGGTGGCCTGTCCTCCTCCAGCACCTGTGCTGAGTGGTGGAGAGTGAGGTTGAGGCCAGTGTAGTGTTGGGCCCTGGCCACCCAAGTTGGGCAACTCGGAAATTAATCCCAGTGGCTCTCTGGGGCTGGCCTGGGACTCTCCCAGTCGGTGTTCTTAGCTGCATTGTTCTTGGGCTTAGTGCATTCCTGGGTTTGATGCATCCTGCGGGGTGGATGTGGAAGCAGACTCCTGCTGGAAACAGGTCGCCAGCCACCTCTACTTAAGGCTTTGGGTGACTCAAGCTTTCACCTCACATCTGGAATGTCAGGGCGAATATGGGCCACACTTAAGGACCTCAGATCTCTAGTGTTGTTAGAGGACAAGCCACCCTGAGGCATCTTCTTACCAAGTGCACACAAGTCAGGATAGCAGCCAGGCTTCTGGCAGCAACTAGCTCAGAGTGGAGTTGTCCCATCTGTGAAGTCACTGGCCCTCTCCGTTTGCTGTGGCTCTCTCAGGTCGCAGGCAGAGGTCTCAGGGATACAGAGGAGGAATTAGAGGTTGGGCATCTTGAACTCTTGCCTCTATACCAGGCTAAATGTTGTGTGTCCTTTTGGGCAGTGACTTCTGGCTTTTAGGCAAAATTGTGTTTTGTATTTCCCAGCCAGCCTGCTCCTCAAGCCTTCTGTGCTTGCCTTTCTAAGTGGATACAGGTTTTTTGCACAGACCATCCCCGCCCCCAAGTAAAACACACACACACACAAACACACACCCCTACAACGACCTGCAGAAGTAGCTTCATTCAGACTGCATAGCTCTGTTGCAAGCATGGGCATGCTGCAGTCAGCAGGGATGACAGGATTGCTCAGCCAGTGCCAGCAGCTTTGTGAAGTCAGAGACTGTGCTGGCTGCAGTGCTGTGGCTTGCAGCAGGTGCCAGGCCCGCAGGCATGTGCAGCATCCGCCATCAAGCCCTGCTCACCTCCCAGAATCGGAGGGCCCCAGCCAGTCTTGGGCTCAGGTTTTTACGTAGCTACACACCTGTGTGGCACAGACACCTGCTTCCAGGTGAAGAGGCTGACTTCTGTGACTTGATGCTGTGTTCAGCATCACATGTACTGTGAAGAGAAAAAAAAACATGCTTAGTGCGCATGGGTTCCCAGATGGCAGGCAATGTCCTAGGAATGACCCCCCGTGGTCTAGTGACTCAGTGGTACGTGAATGCACTTGATTTATATGCGTGTTGTCTTCACAGCAAGTCAGGAGTGTGAGTGTACCCTTTCCCAGGCAGTAGTTACTAGCTGTGAGCCCTGGACAGTTAGATTCTGAGTATGTGGCATCTGGTTTTTAAGGCTTGTTTATTTGTTTTTAAGGTCTTATGGTCTGATTCTTCAATAACATCAGTAACTAAGTCTTCCTCAGAAGTGACTGAATTTATTTCAAAGGTAAGGTGGTCAAGGCCTCTCCAGCAGTGACATCGTTGGTGTCTGTCCTTCCGCTAGCCATGACAATCAGGCTCTAGACCACTAGCATGAGCCACCATTATGTGTCTCCTCATGACACTGACAGTTGTCCCCTGACCTGTGTTCTCTCATGTCTTTGAGGCATTGTCTTTGGACGGCTGTGGAGTCTGAGGAAACGGTAGTCATGTCTACAGTGAGAACTCATCCCTCCCTCCCCCCGCCCAGTAGTGAGGTCCTGGACTCAGTCTTGGCAGGCATGGCTGGCTCTGGAACATCTTTGGTGGCCTGCTGGTTCCTGAGTCTTGAGCTGCCAGGAGTAGTGGAGGGCTTCTCAGAGCCTTGCTTACTACACAGCTCTCAGCAGTCCCAGTGCACTTGGAGGCACAGAGGATCCTATTTGTGCCCTCTCTTAGGTGGTCACCAGTGCCCATTACCTGGGGCTAGACTTTTGGTAAGAGTAAGAGAAGGGTTCTCCACTATCCTGTCTTGCTCTTGGTCCTAGACCAGGGCTGTCATGCCTGGGTTTTGAAGACTAGACTTTGTCAGAGCCCGAGTCCTGTACCCATGGAGGTTTCATGCCGTTGCTCCCGGGCCGGAAGATGTTTACTCTTCTCTTCCGGAGCACTGGGCCAGGAATAGTCTCTCCCCTAAAGGTTAAGGACCTTTGCCTTGGAGACAAAGCCCTGAGAGTTTAGATCTGTTCTTAGGTACTTGTGCCACACTTGGTGGCTCTGCCTCTGTATAGTGGCATATGTGGTCCAGGGGAATACATCCATCTTCCCCGATCTGTGCTGGCCATGGCGTGGTGTCAAAGAGTCCGTGCCTTCCTTGGGGGCCTGGTCCCTGTTTACATTGTCATCAGGACCTGGCCCTGCGGCTCACGTTATGTTACTGCGGCTCACGTTATGTTAGACTTCGGGAACGTTGAGTAGATTGTGGGGCTTGGCTCACCTGTGGTGGAATGGGTGTCCTGCATGCATGTAGAACCTTAGTAGCTGGAAAGGTCCAAACTATCCTCTGACAGATGTCCCGAGGCCACCACACCTCTTGAGAGAAGGCAGGCTGCCGTTGTGTCACAGGGAAGAGACCCATCTTCCTTGTTGTGTCTTTCAGTTATCCCAACTCTGCCCTGAGGAGAACCTGGACAAACTCATTCCTTGCATGGCTGGCCCGGAGTCCTTCTATGTGGAGCGTAACCATGTTGATTTGGAAGCAGCCCTAAGGTAAATAAGGCCCTTGGCCAGGTGGCTGTGGCTGTGTGTGGGGGCCTGTCCCTTATCTCCAGGACTCTGTTGGGAGGGTTTGGAGAGTGTGCACAGCCGTAGAGTCAGTTGAGGATGAGGTGAAGGAGCTGTGCTGTGTGTGTTGGGGAGTTTTCCTCTCTGTGAGATGAAAGCAGTTAGCTGGGTGGGTGGTCAGAGTGAGGATTGGCTCCCGAGTCATCACTGTACCCCACAGAGAAATAATGGCACATGCCGTGCTGGGACTCACTGCCTCTGTTCTGTTGGGATATTTTGAGACTGAGGAAGCCTTGTAGTTCTCTGTCTCCCCAGGACTGGGATGACAGGTGTGCTCACCACACAGTTGATGTGTGTTAGGGATGGAACCCAGGGCTTTGTGTGTTAGATAGACTTTGTACCACCTGAGCCACAGCGATGGCTGCTTCTCTAGTGTGTAAGAAGCCACAGTCCTGTATGGGCTCTGGCACCAACATCTTCATGTTGTGGCCTGGTTCCAGCAGACTCAGGCTGTTGGAGAGTTTGACTCATTCACTGCAAGAGACAGCAAAGGACTTGAGAAGAACTATACAGATTGAATGAAGGCAGGAAGTGTGAGCAAGCCGTGGGACTTGTTCTTCTGTAAGGCCTTATTGTCTGGGATGAAGGCTTCAGGTTCTCTGAGGGTCAACTGTTCTCTTTTGTATGTTGGTGTCAGTTCAGTGCTGACAAGCTGCCGTGTCACTTGACAGGTACTTGGCTTCAATACCCTCACATGCACTGAAGCACGACCATGTTAGGAAGTTCTTCAGTACTTCATCTCCCTCCCAGCAACTCCAGAGTCCAAGTAAGTTTGTGAAACGGTTAAAAAATAAACAAAGAAAGTTACATTATTATTGTCTGTAAGTTCTGTGATCCTTTTCTTCTCCTTTGTAGGTCCTGGCAACCCTTCCCTTCCTAAAGTGGGTGCCGTGATGGGCGTGTCTGGAAGGTTAGTGGCCCTCTTGAGCCAGCATGGTCAGCAGTGTGTGTGAGCAGCTGCTCCTGGAGCTGCTTGGCTTACATCTTGGATAATGCCAGGAGAGGAACTGGGTAGAAGGAAGCCAGTTTTTGGCTTCCCAGTTTTATGGTTTTCTCATTGCTGAGTAGCTTGTTTTAATGCATGATCTACTGGTATCATTTTGTTCCTTGGAAGTGACAGAACCAGGTAGCTCAGTTGAATCTCTGGTGCACACACACACACACACACACACAGCACACGGGCGTAGGACCCCAGGTGTGCTGTGAGCTGAACACCAGGTGCCAGCATGGCACCTCTGACCTCCTGGCGTCACCTGGCAGCTTTGTAAAGCAGCGCCTGCACTCCACTGTTCCTTGTCCTGCAGGCCCGTGTGTGGTGTGGCTGGCATCCCGTCCTCGCAGAGCAGCTCCCAGCAGCACTTGCAGCACTCGGCCAGCACTGCTGCCTCCCTGCCCCACTGCTCCCACACAGGGGGGGGCGCAGGCTCCGCGCTGCCTTACCGGACCCAAGTGGACAACTCGCCCACCATCCTGATGCCCTCTAGTCTGCAGGCCCCTCAGCCCCAGGAGCAGAATGGGATTTTAGACTGGCTTAGGAAGCTGCGTTTGCACAAGTATTACCCTGTCTTTAAACAGCTCACCATGGAGAAGGTATGTTGGCTACTCAGAGGTTCACACAATGTGCTTGGCGTTTCTCTAGTAGCCTGTGCCCTGTCCTCATTCCTAGAGGGGTCAAGTAAGGCTTTTAGATGCCATAACATGGAAGAGCTTGGGTGGTGACCATATGGCTCGGTGTCAGAAGGGACCAGTTTTTCATTCCCAGCTTACAGCCAAAACAAACCAAAGCAGGACAAACAAATTGCTTTTCTAGCTGTTTCAGGTCTTGACAAACCAGGAACTTTATGACTGGAAATGACTCCATCCCTCAAAGATAGGCCAGAGCTCATTCAGATGCCGCTTGCTCCTCCTTAAAGCAGTTCATGTCTCAGTGTGGCCAGCTTACAGGGACACAAGCAGGTGGGGCTCAGACAACCCAGGTTGTAGTTAAACGTCAGACCTGAGGTTGTGGAAGAAAGCTGGCCTGCTCAGAGAGCCCTGTTTTAGTGGACAGCTGTGACTAGGGATGCAGGCTGGCATTTTCTAAGCCTCAGTGCCACTGATTAAGCCAAAGGATTCCTGCACAAGGTATTTGAAATCTCACTCCCCCTGCTGGGCAGGATGACTCTTAACAGTGCGCCCATCTCAAACTCCACTCGCTAACCTGGAGCTGGGGTTTTGTAGACCGCAGGAGTACGGTGCCGTGCGTGCAGCGCTGCTGCTCAGGGCCCAGAAGGCTTAAGGACAAGATACGTTTCTCTACCATTTTTCATAATCAGTTTGAATTTTCTACTCAGAGTTATGATGAGGGACTGAAGCCCACAGCTGGCCGTGATGTGATGGCCGTGATGTGATGGCCAGTTGATTGGCCAGTTAGTTGTCCTGGGTGACAGGCCTGTGAGCTCACCATTTCATCTGGATAGTGCCTTCTTTCTAGATTTCTTGGGTCCTCACCAAATTGCTGAAGGTGATTTACTGAAAAAAAAAAAAAATCTTCCAGGTCTTAAGCCAAGTAACTGTAGTCAGTTCCAGTGTGCAGAGGCTGGTGCACGCCCACAAGACCATCTCCAGAGGGCAGGGCAGCCTTCAGTTGTAAATGCTTAGTGGTTAGAACTGTGTATCCCTGCCTAGTGACTGGGCTGCAGAGTGCCTGTCAGTTGGACTCCTCTGAGGTGCAGAGAGAGGCCACAGCTCCTGAGAGCCGAGGGAAGTGGGGTCAGACTTCTGCTTGCTATCCCTTTAATCTGTTATCCACTCCGCTCCAGTCGGTTCCAGAGTCCTGTGAGGTCATCTCAGTAACTGTCTTTTGTCTCTCCTATGCAAGTTTCTGAGCCTTACTGAAGACGATCTGAATAAGTTTGAGTCCCTCACCATGGGGGCAAAGAAAAAGCTCAAGACTCAGCTGGAGCTAGAGAAGTAAGCATCATATCATCTGATGTGTGCTGGGGGAAGGGGTGCATGCCCTTAATCCCAGCACTCGGGAGGCAGATCTCTTGTTTGAGGCCAGCCTGATCTACAGAATTAAGTTTCAGGACAGCCTGGGCTATACAGAGAAACCCTGTCTCAAAAAAACAAAAAAGGAAGAAATGAAGAAATCCTTTGATGTGCCCTTTGCTGGGTGTGGCCACAGTGCAATCCTAGTACTTAGGCTGGAGCTTGGGGATTTGAGTTTGAGGTAGCCTGGGCTACATAGTGACACTATGTCTCAAACACCAAATCAACACAAAATGAACTGTGTTCGTTTTAATTTCTTATGTACCAAGCAGTGTTAGAACCTGCAGGTTTTTAAAATGTCAGTGTCCGGGTTACTTTATTTCTTACCCAGTTCTCAGGTGGCATTCAATATCACGGGTGTAGCTTTGGGCTCGTCTGGGAGACACTCTGTGCTTGTTATTCACAGGGAGAAGTCAGAGAGACGATGCCTCAACTCCTCAGCCCCATCCTTGGTCACCAGCAGTGGAGTGGCTCGAGTCACCCCCACCAGCCACGTGGGGCCTGTGCAGTCTGGGCGTAGCAGCCACGCTTCAGGTGTGTGAGATCTTGTAGTTCAGACAGATGTGTGGCCTGTATAAAGTGTGGTATGGTGGTGTTTTGACTTAAGAAGAATTTAGACTTCCGATCACACTTTATTCTGACTCAATAGTGTCTAGTACAGGCAAGTAATTGTACAGATGGCCTTGGGCACCAGACACTAGTGCCTGGCCTAAGGTTATTTGGGCAGCAGTGTTAGATCCTGAACTCTTATGCTGTGGGGGAAGCAAGATACAGTCCAGAGAGGTGAAAGGCTCTCTGCTACGTAGGCGTCCGCCATGCATGAAGTGTGGCTGTCCTGCAGGAAGCACTGAGCTTTGCTAGTTCATCAACAAGATGAGTAGCTCAGTACAGACTGGAAGGAACCAGTGTGCACCAGACAGTGCCGTGGGCCTAGGAAGCTGTGGTCTCTACTCCACAGTGTGGATGAGAGCGCCCTACTCTGACTGGCTCTCCACCTTGAGTGTACTAGCCTGAGTCACAAGTACCCCTTTGGGGTTGGAGAGATGGCTCAGTGGTTAAGAGCACTGGCTGCTCTTCCAGAGAACCAGGGTTCAATTCCCAGCAACCACACAGCTGTTCACAACTGCCTGTAACTCTAGTTCCAGGGGATCCAGTACCCTTGCACAGATATAAATGCAGGAAAAACAAATGCATATGAAATAAAAAATAAATTTAAAAAAAAAAAAGAAGGCCGGGCAGTGGTGGCACACGGCTTTAATCCCAGCACTTGGGAGGCAGAGGCAGGCAGATTTCTGAGTTCAAGGCCATCCTGGTCTACAGAGTGAGTTCCAGGACAGCCAGGGCTACACAGAGAAACCCTGTCTCAAAAAACAAAACAAAACAAAAACAAAAACAAAAAAGAAGAAGCAATACCCCCTCTGATGTGTCACCTAATAAGACAGCCTTGACTTGAGTGCTTGCTGTAGTTTTCCTGCATGTATATCTTTTTTTTTAAGGTTTATTTATTTATTTTATGTGAGTACACCATTGCTCTCTTCAGACACACCAGAAGAGGGCATCAGATCCCATTACAGATGGTTGTGAGCCACCATGTGGTTGCTGGGAATTGAACTCAGAACCCCTGGAAGAGCAGTCAGTGCTCCTAACTGCTGAGCCATCTCTCCAGCACCTATTGGTACAGTTTTCCAGATTCTTGGAGCTTGGTCCGACTTTGGCTGGGGCCCTGCTTTCCAGTGTTCATGGCACGATTCTTCTGCCTGTGGGCAAGTGCCACCTAGCTGTTGACCTCTACCTGCCTTCTCCACAGAGCTGCGGGTGGAGGTGGAGCCACCGGCTCACCAGCTGCCCCGAGAAGGCAGCTCCTCCGAGTATTCCAGCTCCTCTTCTAGCCCCATGGGTGTGCAGGTCCGTGAGGAGAGCTCGGACAGCGCTGAGGAGAGCGATAGACGTAAGATCCCTGGGCTGTGGCCTGGCTCCTGCCCCATCCGCTGAGCTCACAGGTCCCCTGCTAACAGTCTTCCCCATCCTCAGGTGTGGACATCCATGTTGAGGGGACTGAGAAGGAGAAGCCCGTGATGCTCCTGGCTCACTTCCCATCCAGCTCTGCAAGACCCACAGCCCAGGTTCTGCCCGTGCAGAACGAGACTGGCTCCAGCCCCACCGCTCACCATGCTCTGCCCCCGCAGCTTCTGCCTGCAGCCTCGCACATGGCGCCTGTCCGCATGCTGAACTCGGTGCACAAGTCAGACAGAGGCAGTGCGGACGTGAAGCTGCTCTCCTCATCTGTGCACTCCCTTCTGTCTCTGGAGGAAAGGAACAAGGGGCCTGCTTCTAGAAGTGGCACAAAGGTGGACAAGAGCTTTGGCGGGGCTGTGCTGGAAACACTGCCCTCAGCAGCACCTCACCCGCCAGTGCAGGGCCTCTCGGGCCTCGTAGACAGCAACTCTGTGTCACCTACCGTCTCCTTTGGTCCCCGGGCCAAAGTTGTGCATGCAGCCACACTGGACAGGGTGCTGAAGACAGCACAGCAGCCAGCCTTGACTGTAGAGACCAGCTCAGCCGCCACAGGGACACCAAGCACCGTCCTGCATGTGGCCCGGCCACCCATCAAGCTGCTGCTGTCTTCCTCTGTTCCTGCTGATGCTGCCATCTCTGGCCAGACTTCTTGTCCCAACAATGGGCAGATCAGCGTGCCCCCTGCAATAATGAACCCCCGGACTGCTCTGTACACAGCCAACACCAAAGTTGCCTTCTCTGCAGTGAGCAGTGTGCCCGTGGGCCCACTGCAGGGCAGCTTCTGCGCCAGCAGCAACACCGCCTCCCCCAGTAGTCACCCCTCCACGTCCTTCGCGAGCATGGCCACTCTACCCAGTTGCCCAGCCCCCAGCTCCAGCCCTGCCCTCTCCTCTGTCCCAGAAAGCAGCTTCTACAGTGGCGGTGCTGGCAGCAGCTCTCCAGGGAACATTCCTGCCTCAAGTCAGAGCCACCACCACCACCACCACCATCAGCAGCCCCCCGCACCCCCCCAGCCTGCGCCACCCCCACCCGGCTGCATTGTCTGCACGTCCTGTGGGTGCAGCGGCAGCTGCGGCTCCAACGGCCTGACTGTCAGCTATGCCAACTACTTCCAGCACCCGTTCTCGGGGCCGTCCATGTTCCCCTTCCCTTTCCTGCCCTTCAGCCCCATGTGTGGCAATGGCTATGTCAGCACCCAGCAGTATGGTGGTGGCTCTGCCTTCCCTGTGGTACACACACCCTACAACGGCAGCGTGACTCCAGACCCTGTCCTAGGTGGGCAGTCCACGTTTGCAGTGCCACCCATGCAGAACTTCATGGCTGGGACAGCGGGGGTGTACCAAGCCCAAGGCCTGGTAGGCAGCACCAATGGCTCCAGTCACAAAAAGAGTGGGAATCTGTCCTGTTACAACTGTGGGGCCACTGGCCACCGTGCCCAGGACTGCAAGCAACCATCCATGGACTTCAACAGGCAAGGTAAACACCCCAGGAGGTGCCGCATCCTCCTGGCTCTGTTGCTTGTGGCTCCTGGGAGACGTGCTCATGGCTGCTCAGCTCAGAAAGCAGTAAACTTGTTTCTAAAGAAACCCAGGGTAAATTCCTATACCCATGTTGGGCCGTTCACAACTACCTGTGATTTTAGATCTAGGGAATCCACTACCCTCTACTGGCCTCTGTAGATTACAGACACACACCCCACACACTGCACATACTACATACAACACACACACACCACCCCTCCCTTAAAAACAACAAGAACCTTAGATCCTCTTCACCAAAACAGCATGAGCCGGGTGGATCTACCAGGATTATAGAGCAGCCAGTGGTTGCTGCCACCTCCTGGAAGATGGGTAAAGTGTAAGGATTGAGCATCAGTTAAGGACTGATACAGTTAAGCCCCCTCTGCTGGTCTGTCTGTTCAGTGTGGCTGTGTGCCTGTGTCAGGCTGTGTCCTGCCGACTGGCTGCTGCTTCCTTCCCATTGTATTTCCTGTAGTCTGTGTTATCAAATTGAAATGTCTACTGTATTATGCCAGTTTATTCTTTTGTTTTATTGTCTGGCCTCAGCCTCCAGAGTGCTGGGATGGTTAATACATGTCACACACCAGGTTCACCAGGTTCACCAGGTTCACGCCTGCTATTTGTTTTGGGAAAATTACAGTATGGTTAGGAAAATTGGTCCCGCCTTGCCCAGGTCTGGACTCCCAGCACCTCCATCTCTGGTTGTGCAGTTTCCTGTTGCTCTCTCCCTGCAGAGCTTGAGAAGCCCAGTCAATACCTGTAGCCAAGAAGGGAAGGGCAGTAGTGGTGCAGGTTGCCACGTCCCTTCCTAGAACTGGCCTGTGTCTGCTCGGTCCAGGCCATCCCTGCCCATGGGTGTTGTCAGCTTGAGTGTGAGGGCCATGTCTGAAGAAAGATGCGAGGCACTGAGGCGGGCAGTGTGCTGTGAGATGGCCACCGCCCCCATGCGGCTGTGTGTGGGTGTGGTCAGTCCTGCATGGCATCTCAGATCAGGTGGGCGGTGTGTGCACTTCTGTAACTGACTCAGGCTTCACACTCTTCTCTCTTTCTCTCTCTTTCTCTCTCTCTTTCTCTCTCTCTTTCTCTCCAGGAACTTTTAGGTTGAAATACGCCCCTCCAGCAGAAAGTCTGGACTCCACGGACTGATCCTATTTTTTTTTTTTTGGCAACAGAACATTTTCTTAAGCCATGAAAAATCACATAGAGAACTGAAGTCAAGTCGCTGTGGAGCCGTGGAGACCTAAAGACAACCACAGAGAGAGCTGAAGTCGAGCCGCTGTGGAGCTTAATATTTTTAACCCAAAGGTGCTTTACTTCACTATACTGGATAGAGAATCTAGCATACAAGTACGTCAAACTCGATTTCATTGCCAAATTCCTAGTTTCGGAGCTTGATCCAAGGATCGCCTAGTGGGCATCGCTATGGCAGTCACGTGGCCGTCCTGTCATTGCTGCAGCATGAAGACCTGTCTCCTCAAGATGGATGGTCCTTCTAGGCTCACATGTAATTCCAGGGCAGCTATGCACGACCTGAGTCAAGACTGCAGGTCGGAGTTCTCTCAAGTTCCCCAGTCGGATCCAGGACCCCTTTTGGGGCTAGGAAATGCCAGCTGGACTTTGCTGTTTTCTAAAGTGGGAGCCTCTGGGAGCCTCATGTCTGGCTTCTTAAGGATTGCACTACCTGACAAGGGCCCTGCAGTCTGGGAGCAGACTCTGCTGGGACCCGACAGTATCGGGGACTCCGTCAGTGGGCACTGGAGTTGGCACCAGCAGGCTGCTCCGCCAAGCACACCCTGGAATTGATCACAGGGTGTTGTGTAGACACTTGGAGCAGTTCCAGGTTTTTAATATTTTTTTCTGTAAACAAATTTACACTATATTAGTAAGTAAGACCTAGCTCACTCTCGACAACTTCATTTCTAAGGGTCCAAGTTGCAGGGAATCCAGTTACCGAGGCTTGAGACCACCTCTCCTGTCGGAGGCTTTGAGCCTGCTCTCTCCAAACAAGAACCAACTCTTGACACAGGAATGACTCGGCTTTGTGAGTTGACTGTGACTGACAAGCCTCATTCTTCAGAAAGCTGGCAGGCTGTTGTGTCTCAAATGGCTTCCCCAGGACCCCAGCCCCAGAGCTCACTGCTGACAAAGTCACACTTGACACAGATGTCAGCAGTAATACAGTCCTGTGATTCATGAACAAAAGACTGGAAACTGTCGGCTTCTTTTGTATTAGGCTGTGTGTTGATTGTTAATTCCGTTAAAATTGCCTGGAAAACTTCAGTAGAGAGATGAGAGACCCCTCGAGACCGCTCGCTCACCAGTCGCTCACCAGTTGCAGTCCAGACCAGGGGTGGGGGTGGGTCCTCACTCCTCAACAGGTTGTGAACATTTCAACCCACCACAGCGGAGGCATAAGGGACTTAGACCTCTGAGGTTAAAGGGAATTTTATGCTCAAATAACAATATTTATAATGCTAAAGCCTTCGGTATTAAAAAAAATCGATGGTAAGATTTTGCCAAGGATTTTCCAGCTTCCTATTTATGGAGAAGAAAAATCACAGTCCTTAAACCATTCTTCAGATGGGACAATCACCCTCATGCAGAATTAGTGTAAATCACAAAATACCCTAGAACTGGAGGCGTTGTGATATAAGGCTTCATAGTCTAAGATGGGCTTTCTCTCTGTGGAGACCCACGGAAGGCTTGAGTGTTGTGGATTCTATGCAATGCAAGATCGCTAGGCCTCTGTCGTGTCCGTGGCTCACAGGCTCACAGGATCTGTTCTGAGTGATGGCAATGAGGCACTAGGGGATGCTCTGTTGATCTCTCAGAAACACTACAAATGTCAATACAAGAAGTGACACAACTTTGCCTTAAAGAGCACCAGACTGGGATTGGTCATATTGTGTTGATAAGGAAGACTCTGAGTGTTCACTGATGTTTACGATTTTAATATTTCTGAAGGCCATCACGGTGGCCTGGGTATGTGCTGAAAGCCAAACTTTTAAATTTTTTGGTTTTTTTTTAAACAAAGAAATATTTTAAATAAATCCTATTTCAACACAGAAGTTGTTGAAAACTGTCTCATAGCAAAAGAAAAAGATCATATTTAAGTTTTCTCTTTTGTGGTCAGTATAGGGAATGGAAGTGTCTTACGGCTGTTGACCTGAAAGACAGCAGTCTACTGTGGCAACTTTGCTACCTGTGGCATGCAGCCGAGGTGAGCGAGCTCCAGCACCATCTCAGCTGTCGGGCAGCAGAAGTCTGTGTCTGGAAGCAGCCGACTGCCTCTGCAGAGCTTGTGTAGTGTGGCATTTCTGTGAAGCCGACCGGCCAGCGAGGATGGAAGGAGCGTGCGCAGCCTGGAAGCACAGGTGGATGTTTGCAGGCGGGCACGCCCTCAGAGCCCACAGTCAGCCTGGCCAGCAGGCACTCCCTCAGCCGACTTCATCGTTACACACCTGACAGACCTCTCCCGTCATTTCTCTAAAACTGCTCAGTCAGATGGCAGTGGTGCCCAGGTGGGACGGCCCAGGACTCCATCATCAGATTCTAATCCTGTGTTAACATCTCAGGGCACGAAGGGGGGTATTCAGATAAGAAGGAGGGCACAGTATTAGAACAAAACAGCTATGTGACCTTTTTGTTGTTGTAGCAAAATATTCCGTTTTCTACCTTCCTTTCTAGTTTTTATTTCATGATCAATAGTGAAAATTGGAAAGTGTTTGAATGCTGAAAACTCCTAATTGCTGAAGGGCACTGAGGGATGGGATCTCGCGCTCACAGTAAAGACAGTTGAGCGGATGGTTGGGTATCAGGAAACCAGTGGCACCATCATCTCCCAAGGTGACAGCAGCAGCCTGTTAACACAGTACTCAGCAGCTCAGTGTGGGTGGAGCTCACTGGGCTTCTTTCTGCAGGTCAGCCTGGCTTGTACCACATGCACGTGCACGTGTGCCATGACAGTGCCATGAGGACAGCCCGATGGGAATTGGGTCTTGCCCTCCTCACTCCGTCCCTGTGTCTCTGCTTCCTGGCGTGTGGTCTCATGTGCTAGTGTTACAGCCAGCTAATGGGTGACATTACTTGCCGAAGTCTTAAAAGGTTGCAGGGACTTGGTCTAATTTGTTCAACCTCATCCCAGTCTTGGAGAACTTGAGCAGGGACAGCTGTCCTTTCCGAAGTGCAGGTGACTCCTGTAGAGCAAATCAGGTGGCCCAAGAAACCATCAGTCCAGAGATGTGATCGCTGACCCATCCAAGGGTCTCACTGAAAATGTAGGCACCTGTAGTCAACACTTGGCAATATTTCAGAAACCACACACTGTACTGGCAGGCCCAGGGCCAGGGCACTGCCCCGCCACAAGGGGGCAGTGACCAGCCTTCAGCACAGGTCAGTTCTCACGCACACAGAGGTGTTGGTACCAAGACTGAAACCTTCATAGATTCTATTGGGCATATTTTCTTTTTAGGAATGAAGGACAATTCTCCCATTTTTGAGCCATTCTTTTGTCAATTCTACAAAATTGCATGTAACTTTATAAATATTTTTAAAAGATATAGTTTTGTAAATATTTAATATTCTGCTAATTTGATTTTGAATTGTAAATGTCAAGTATTCTGTTTTTGGGGTTTTTATGTTTTATTATACTTTGTTAAAAAGGAAGAATTGTACATTTTTAGACTGTTTTTATGAGTAAATTTAATGTACGGAAAATAAAAATTTAAAAAAAACTCAATGTGTTCAACATTCTCAGACCTTTGCCAGTGAGGCAGGTCCTTCCGCCTTTCCCTGCTATCTGTCAAGGCCCCCAGCTTTAAACATTGTTGCCTAGAACTCTAGGCTATGGCCTGCCCTGCCCTTACAGGAAGAGGACCTGCTAACAGCGCCACCTGAGACGCTGCTGAGGCAGTGCTGCACTCAAAGGCATCCCCACGCAGAGCAGCTTCCTGGGCTGCCCTGAGGACACTCTGCAGCAGCTCTCTGCAGAGCCTGCTGTCTGCTCTGAGCTGCAGTTGGTTACAATGTCCCCCAGATGCCAGCAGCTGTCCACATGAGTAAATCCTTTGTGTGTGTTCTCACAGCACCAGTATGCACCTGCCATCTGGCAGGTCAGTGAGCTATCCAGAGGATTTAAAAGCAGGTGCTGGTGGCAAAGAGTTGACCATGGAAAGGCAGTCCCCTTTACCCCTCCCCAGGAAGAGCAGCCTGGGCATACTGCAGATCCCAGTTCCCACCCCAACCAACTCCATGAGACAGCACTCAGGACAGGTTGAGTTGTGCCTTTATTGACTTAGTGCATCAGAGTGTACAGGTGGCCGGCCTATTAGTGGAGGCCGCCCTCTGAGCAGCATTTTTAAAGCAGTATTACAGGAATCCTTACTGATCGCACCATAGTTATAAAAACCAGGGTCATGACACACACAACCTACACAAGACAGAGCAGTGAGGATTGACACAATGTAAAGTAACATTTGAGGGTTAGCAAGGACAGCGGCATGCAGGGAGGGGTTGGGGGGTGCCTGGGAGGAGCTAGGTTGGGAGGTGGCTATGTTGGCTTCCGTCCATGATAGCAGGCAGCTCTCACTGAGACTCTCAGACCAAGAGTGAGTGACCAGGGGTGGTCTGAGTATCTGATGCAGGTAGCAGGAAGCAGAGGCTTGCTTTAGTTGGAAGTGGCCACATGTCTGTCAAGAGCACATATCCTGTTGCTGCTGCCTTCACAGCTGTCAGACCGCCCTTACAAAGACAGTTACACACTAACAAATAACTGTGAGCCAAGTCCGGAGCGAGTGCATTTGGACTTCCAGTCTACTGTTGTGACAACTGCATCCTAAGGCCAGCATTGCATACCTGCTTGCTCTCTCCCTGAAGCAGGCATGGACTAGACAAAATCCAAACCAGGAGAAACACACACTTTCTCTGCAGTCTCTTAAGAAGCTGGACCAAGCAAGCCCTGGGCAAGGTTAGAACTGGCCTCTGAGCAGCAGTGCATGTGGTAACATCTACACAGCAGCGAGTGAGCGTCCCTGCACTGCTGAGGGGGAAATGGCATGGCTGGGACAGGACCCGGACCTGGCTTAGAGTGAGATCCTACACACCTGACCAGTTTTGGGCAAAGCCAGAGCCCTCTGGGGACCTCTGCCAGGCAACCTGGGCCGAGGGACTGTTTAGAGGGACTTCTCTCCTGAGTGGAAGCCCTTTTAGAGAAGGCAGCAGGTCCCAGGAAGAGACTGCCCCCAACACCGCTCTTCTAGTTTAAGTCCCTACTGGGGAGAAAAATGTCAAAATAACTTGGTCTTTTTATTGGCAACTTAGGATGCAAAGTATTTTATTTTAAACTTCTAAAGTTTGAACACAAGATAGCCTAGTTTAGATGAGTTTCCAAGCTGAATGCACTTGCATGGAGCTCAGTTTCTGCTGATAAACAGTTCCTAATAATACCCTATGTGGGTGCCTACGTTCTGATCTGTGGGTGGTGAGCTGACCAGCGTCCGCTGGTAACGTCCCTTTTTGCCTTGGTAAGGGCTTAAGAACCATCAGGCATTGTTCCAGCCTTACACAGCCAGCGCTGTCCCGAATGTCTCCTGCGAGGCATAAACCATGTACAGGAAGCCGTCTTCATCTCTCTCGCTCTCGTACACTTCAGAGATGGGCGTGGACACACTCACCATGCTGTGCCCATTCACCAGGAGGAAGAAGGCTTGGTTAGCATTGAGCTGCAAGCGCCTTCTGTGGAGGAAAGAGAATGGGGAGACTCAGTGAAGTCTGCATACTGTGTACAGAACTTCGGCCCCCCAAAAGCCTACTGATCAACAAAACCTAGCATGCCCCCACCCCCACGATGGCTGGGATCGGCATTGCACCTACATGGCCACATTCACAGCTTCCATCTGGTCAGAGCCTTCTGGATGCTACAGCTGTGAGTTCGCATCCTCTCTCGCTGTTCCTGATAGTTTACTAGGAGGGGTGATCTCAGACTGGGCAGCAGCAGCCCACCATGCCGCCTAGCATTCTTTAGAGTCATCATCCAGTAGCTATGTCAACCCTTTGGCCCCTCGGGTATGATGTCTTTATGCTAGAGCACACTGCCAGCTGACCTGAGACACGTACAGCTGAAGACACGCCTGACTTACAAGGACATGAAAGCAGCAGAAGGACCTAAGGCTGGCAGTGATGACTAAAGGAGAAGTGTCCCTCAAGGAAACAGGACAAGTGGCCAGATACCTAATTATCTTGATGAGCTCGCTCATATTCACGTGATCAGGTACAAGGAACTTGGTCTTGTCCAGGACAGGCAGCTGCTTCTCCCCCTTGTATCTCTCGATGATCACCTGCAGAGAGCCCAGACACTCAGCAGTACACACACCACTCCCCACGCTGGGCACAGCACATTTTGCAGTTGCCTAACCCAGCCCTTCTGTGCTTGCCTGTAGCACTCCTGTGACCAGTACTCGTTCATAGTGCTGCCACTGTCTCTGGCAAAACTGTGGCAAGGCCACCAGGCACCTGTTATCTGAACTGTGCTAGGATTAAAGATACATGCTACATCCAGCTACTGTCTCACACTGTAGCCCAGGATGTCCTTAACTCAGGGCTCTCGACCTGTATCAGCCTCCTGTGCTAGGATGACAGACACAAGCCTCATACCCAGCAATGTATTCAGCCCAAGTTTTATGGACCAGATGGTTGTGTGCTGCCATGTGGGTGCTGGGAATCAAACCCAGGTCCCCTGTGAGAGCAACAAGTACTCTAAGCCACTCAGCCATCTCTCTAGGCCCCAAAATAATTTTTAAGAAATGTTAAAAGCAGCCTGGTATGGTGGCGCAGGCCTTTAATCCCAGCACTTGGAAGGCAGATCTCTATGAGTGTGAGGCCAGCTTGGTATACATGTTCCAGGACAGTCAGAGCTACATAGTGAAACTCTACACCAATAAACAAATAAATCTACGAGACAGGGTTTCTCTGTGTAGCCCTGGCTGTTCTGCAACTCATTCTGTAGACCAGGCTGGCCTCGAACTCAGAAATCCGCCTGCCTCTGCCTCCCAAGGGCTGGGATTAAAGGCGTATGCAACCACCGCCCAGCTAAATAAACAAATCTCAACCAAAATAAATATTAAGCTAGGTATGGATATAAGGGCCCCTATTTATATATAATCCCAGCACCTGGAGGCTCAGGAAGGGAACTGCCTTGAATTCAAGACTAACCTGGTGGAGACCAGCCTCAAATCAAACAAAACAAAAAGTTGCTACAAGATCTGAGCATTGATGGGCCTGAGAACCTCAGTTCACCAGTTTCCAGGTGCCTGGACAACAGAAATCCATGCCCGGTCACAGCACGGCAGACAAAGGACATAGCCACGTGTACTTGCGGAGGGAAAGCGCTCATCTCCACACGCTCCCTGGGTATGGCCTGTATGTGGTGCTGTGGAAGTCAGTCTTAAGCAGCCATCCCCATCGCTGGCAAGACTGACAGCTGCATCTGTGGCTGCTCCACCCAAGGGAAATGCCAGCTCTGGGCACCCCACACCTGGGGTTGCGAGGCAGACTCTCCAGGAGGAGAGCAGAGTGGAGGAGTATAGGAAGTCCAAGGCACTCTTCCACAACGCCAGAGTGAGGGGACACTAGAGGGCTGTCCTTGTCTTCCCTTGCTCACTTTCCTGAGACAGGCTGTGAGCAGGTCCCAGCCCCTTGTTGGGAAGCCCCACAGTGACCAGTCGTCCAAACATGCCTGGCTCCCTCTCCACCTTCTGCTTTCTTCTCTAGTTTGGAAGACAGATTGACTGGTCTGAAATAGGCCTCCGTCTTTGCAGCCTGGAAAGACTCGGAGCCACTGTGGCCACCCTGTCCTCACTGAGGCTGCCTCTCGTGCCTGCTTGGTGTCATGTGCAGAGGACTGCAGCTGAGTTTCAGCAAAGAGCCCCTAGCTACTGTGGAGCTGCTGGCTATGCCGAGCTGTGGTCTCACAGCTCACAGGAAGCCGTGTGCAAATCCTGGCAGGCTCAGGCAGCTGCTTCCTACAAGTAGGTCGGGCAAGCACTCCAAAATGAAGGACTGTTTCAGTCCAGGAAAAGCTACTCACAGGCCCAGGCCCAGGCCCAGGAAGCCCCGCCCCCAGGTGAGGACTGGGAAAAGGCCAGCCAGCTGAGAACAGCATGCCCACATCCCCCACCCAGCAGCAAGTCTGAGCCACTCCCTTATCAGTGCTCTTTCAGAATGGTACAAGGGCTGTGGAGAAAGCTGCACGGGGACACGGGGAAGCAGGACACGGGCAAAGCTGACTTCCACTGTGAAAGAGGCCCCACCAGAATCCCCAGAACATGGGCACTAGCTGGAGAAGAGCCATTTTAAGCAGTGGCCTGTCCATGTCTGACTCTGTGTAAGGTCTAGAACCAGGGCACATGGTGTGCAGGGTGCTGAAGGCCGCCTCTCAGTCCCTTATCTCCTATAAAGCCGCCATGCCACCGAGGACCACTGACTCCCACAGGAGTCATCCTTGTTTCCTTAGTGACGGCTGGAGTGCAGTTCATTGGTTGACAGCTCAGGCCCTGCGTTCCATCCCAGACACCACAGAGAAAAAGCCAAACAGTCTGGCCCACCCGTCCCTTTCCCCTTTGACATGCACAGGAAGAGCAAGCTCAGATTTGGAGGCATATGGTTACTGGGCACACAAAGCCTCAGAGTCCAAGGGCTCCTGGGGGCTCTACTGGGGTTGGGGGATCCCCTCTTGCCCAGAAGCATCATAGCTGCAGGAGAACCTACTGGGATCTTGGTGGGGTGCTGCTCCCGGATGAGCCGGACATCTTCCACTCTTTGTTCTGCAAGAAAGAAACAGAATGCCATCAGGGGCCTGGCTGCCAGGGTCTGCTGGGATTGTCCTGTGTTGAGGCAGTCAGTGGAGCGTCCCAACATAGCCCAAGGGGTGAAGCCTTCATTGCAAGAGGCTACAAACCCAGATGGACAGCCACAAAGAACAGGGTACCTGTGTAACCGTAACCTGGGGAAAGTGGTGTCTCTTCTCTGATGACTTCTAGCACCACTCTTTTGTTAATTTTTCAACCCTGGTAAACCAAGGACTAATGCAGTTTTTCTGAGCACTCCCAGTTAAGGAAAGAAAGGATTTGTTTTGCTTATTTTCTGAAATGATTGATGTACCCCAAGCTGGCCTCAACTCAGACCCTTTTGTCTGAGGCTTCCCAGTACTGAAATTATAGCTGTGCACCTGGGCTAGTGAGACGTGCTCTCAAAACACACCCCCACCCCCAGTCAAAAACCACCAAAGTCTCCTGCTGAACAAATGTCTCCTCTCCACTGCTTTCTTCTTGTGATAGGCTCTCCTGTACCACAGCTTAGCCTCGAACTCATGAAGCTAAGGATGTGCTGGGAGGTCTTCAGCCAGTAGCTGGTACAAGAAGCTGGGCATGCCACTGGAGATGGAGTTGCCCTGCACCCCTCTCTATTCTGAAGGCTGACCTCTTTGTATCATTTCTCCCTGTCACCCCAGATGGGATAGCACCATCTATACACACGGCTTCCTGCCACTTTCCAGAAAAACCCTCCATTGTCATACCTGCTCCAGGGTTTAGTCACTGCACTGAATTCATTCTAACAAATAAACAGGCACTCAGACACCTGGCACACCACACTTCAGGCTTCAGAGCAGCTTTTCTCACCAGGACTGACCCATGCTCAGCTCCCACCACCCCCACTGGCTCCCTTTTCTGGCATCCATGGGCACAAGGCATGCACATGGTGCAGATATATGTGTAGGCAAAAGATCCATACAGATGAAATAAAAATTAAAAGGTTAAATGCACAGCACCTAAAACCCAGCTTGGCAATCTCTAGGCCAGCTTGAGCTACAGAATAAAGCTTGCCAGGCATCGGTGGCACAGTACAGGGCTACATAGAGAAACCCTGTCTCAAAAAAAACAAAAAACAAAAAACAAAAAAACAAAACAAAAAGCCAGGCACAATGGCACACCTTTTATCCTAGCACTCAGGAGGCAGACACAAAGAACTCTGTAAATTCAAAGCTAGCCCAGGCTACACAATGAGACCCTGTTTAAATCTACCAACCAGCCACTGACAGCAGAAAGCCTAGCACAGTGAGATGGGAACAGGGTGAGAGCTTTAGGGGCAGAAACAGTTAACACCGGTGAGAGAAATACAGGCTGCAGGGCTCCACCCCCACAAACTACAATGCCATTCTGATTTGTCCCAAGGGAAAAGGCAGGAATAATCTTTACTAAAGCAAGCAGTGGCCAAAACTGGTGGCCTATAGGACCTGCTCAGCCCTGGCTGGCTGAAGGGACAGAGAACTAGAGGCGGCCTCCAAGAGCCGAGACACTCAGGGCACGCTGGTGGCCTTTTTATGCAGACAGCTGTGCAGGAGCCATCAGCTGGTACCGAAGACTGGCTCTTTAACTATAATGACACTTATGTCTCTCTGCACACACCGGGCTATGTGACCAGAGAAGGCTTCAGCATCTCCTTGTCCCACAAGAGCCCCCCATCCAGGCTTGTCGATGACTAGCGAAAAAATAAAAGCCACAACATGGCAGATCCAGCCCTAGGCTCCTTTGCTTCAACTCTGGAAGATGCCACCCACACTGCTATCTTGTATCTCTCAGCCTGGCCCAGCCCAGTGACAGCTTAAGTTCCTAAAGCCACCTAGGTGGTTTTTTTTTGTTTGTTTGTTTGTGTTTGTTTTTGTTTTTTTCAAGACAGGGTTTCTCTGTGTAGTCCTGGCTGTCTGTCCTGGAACTCACTTTGTAAACCAGGCTGGCCTCGAACTCAGAAATCCGCCTGCCTCTGCCTCCCAAGTGCTGGGATTAAAGGTGTGTGCCACCACTGCCCAGCGATCGAGGTGTTTTGTTTGAAAGAGGGAGAGTCTCACTGTGTGAACCAGTGGGATTAAAGTCATGGAACACCACACCTTTCATCGACTTTAGACTGATGGGAATCCTGCTCTCCCTGGGGCTATTTATTTTGACCCAGCAAGCAAACTTTCCTGCAGACACTGGGTTCCTAGGAGTTTGGAACCATCCAGAAAAACAAAACAAAACAAAACAACAAAAAAAGAGCAAACACTGGATTACCCCAGAAAAACTCGGTGGAACCATCTGAGAAGAGAGAAGCCTGAAATCACCTGATCAGCTCTAAATCGGAAATTGGGCGCGACCTTCTAAGAATCTGCGAACCTGACAGCCTTCTGGCTGCCTGGCCTCCTTCCTTACTGCACGAGGGATGATCGCTACTTACTGGAAGTCTAAGAATTTATTATAGAAAGCTAATGGGACTCTGCCACTAGGCGGATTCTAAGCATCACCGCCCCAGGCCCCACCCAGGTGCTTCAGCTACAAAGGGTCAGTGTGGGGTGAGTCCTAAATCCATCCAGCCAGCCACTAAGTATCCCCTCCGTCTGGATACTGCAAACTCCAGAGCTCCAACCTAAACCCGTCCAAACTCACTGGAAAAGAGCAAGACCAGTCTTGGCCTCCTCAAAGGGGCCGCCCCAAACAACATCTGCGTGGTAAACCTCTAAACTGTCAGTGCCCACCATCAGGACCAATAAAGTCAGAAGCAAGGAAAGCAGCAGCCACCAGACCATCAGATGCCCGCGCTTTCTTCATAACAGCCTTGGTAGGGCAAGATCGAAGGCAAGCTAGGGGAAAAACATCGCAAGCCTGGTGGAGCTTTGGAGAGATTACTCCCCGGCCACTCTGGGGACCAGCGTCCTAGCTAATATGTTTCCCACCCACACTCCTTTCTCGAAGACTGTTCCAGAATAACTTAAGATCACTACAAGCAAACAAAACAGCTGTTAAGTTTCCGTTATGAGACAAAGGCCACCTCTCCCACACACAGGTCCCCAAGGGACTGCGGGAGCAGAGGAGGCTGGGTGCTGCCCCAGGGCTCGCGGGGCGCCCGGACCTGGGGCCCACTAAAGACAGGGCCGATCTCGCCGTAACTGCGGTTCCCTCCGCCACCGGGGTCGGGTCTCCAGTCCCGTAGGGGACGCCGGGCCTACCGGCGACCGACAGCCAGGGTGACGCTGCGTGCCCAGGCTACCCCAGGGACTGATCCGCCGGGGACCCAGACCCCACCGTCCCCATCGCTCCGGGCCCCGCCGCGTCCGGGCCCCGCAAGACACCCCCGGGGTCCCGACCTCCACCCCTCCCGGCACCCGGATCTCCCATCCCCGGGCCCGCGGCACGCACCGAAGCTCCGGCGCTGCTTGAAGGTCTTCTCGGACGGCATGGCGCGCGGGGGTCCCGGGTCAGACGATCTGGCTCCCGCGACGATCACTTCCCTTGTGTGTCTCCTCAGCCCGCAGCCGAGTCAGGTGACTAGCGGCGCGTCAGCGTGGGTGGGGCCGAGGGCGGCCCCGAGAGCAGCCATGACAGGCGTGGCGGAAGCTCGCCGGCGCGCAACATACGAGCGCCCAAGAGATGGTCCTACGCCTGCGCCAACCATACTGGGCACTCGCTGGGCGAGCATCTGCTAACTGTGTCTCTGGGCTGGGCACTGGTGCTGTGGAGTCCTGCAGACCTCCTTCCCCCTTGCATGGCCCGGCTAGTGTTCCAGCACCCGTCCCCTTGCCGCTGTATTTGACATTCCTAAATTTCTCCCCACCAAAAAAACAACAAGAAACAGACTTGAGGTTTCGCCTGCTAAATCTTTAACATTTACGGACTACAAGACGTCTGGAGACTTGTGGTTGGATCTGATCTTGTGGCGCTTCCCCTGCAAGTCTTGTGCTGCCACTAACACAAGTATGTACCCCTAAGTTAAACTCGCAGAGAAGCAAGGTCTAAGGAACTACAGACTTGTCTCTGGAGGGCAAGATCAGTGACAGCAAAAAGAAAGACGATGAGCCCACCTATTGTGGGTTCCTATAAAAGCCCTTTTGTGTATCTGAGCTGCTGAGCACCGAGTTTGAGGGACAAGGCTCGCCTAGACTTCCCAGGGTGCTAGTCCATGTGTAACTTCATTTCCTACCCCACCACATTTTGGGGGGGTCGGGCAATCAGTCTGTGTCCAGGAACTCCAGCAGAGGCCTGATCCAGGCGGGATTCACCTTGGAAAGCCCCAGAGGACAGTTCTGTTTGGAGACTTTTTATCTCAGCCGTCCCTTCACCGACAGATCCTTCTACTGCAGGTGACCCCTGGGTGGCTTTATCACAAGCCTGTCCTCACTTTAACTCCTGCAGAGCCTGGGTCTGCCCAGCCCACAGTCATAGCTCATTACAGATTAGACAGATTTTAACCTCCTCAGGCAAGGCCCAGGGTCTGTCAGCCATGGATTAGGTTTAGCACCTTCAGTTTGTAGGAGCAGGTGACAGGTCTGGAGTTCAAACCAACAGTGTGGACAGCCGCCCCACCCCCACCGGGCCCTGTGCTGCCACATCGGAGCCGGGCTTGGGTCCTTGCAGATCTACCACCTGACACTGTAGTCTCCCTACAGCCCAGACTTCCTCCTTTAAATGGAAATAACCTTCTTCATGCGCTGTTCATCCGAGGGACCTCCTTACACATCCATGTAAACAGGAAACGTTCAAAACACACTACAGAGTGAAATCCCAGAAGGCTGTTTACATTTGTTTGTTTGCTTGCTTTGCGTTATTTGCCGGAGGGCTGTTTTGTGTAACGTTTCTGGCCTGAGATGCAAGAGACCAGGCTAACAGTCAAAATGAAAGCCACATCTGGTGGCACAAGGTATGTCATCTTAGCACACTGGAGGCTGAAGCAAGATTATCAAAAGTTCAAGGCCAAGTGGGACATGGTGCCTAGGCCTCTAATCTCAGCACCCAGACAGGATACAGTCTGGACTCTGTAATTCTGAGACAGCCTGTTCTATACAGTAAATTCCTACATTGTGAGAACCTGTCTCAAAAAAGGAGGGGAGGCGTGACATAGGCGTGGGATTGGTGGGACGGTCCAGTGGTTAAGAATACTGGTTGCCTGGTCTACAGAGTGAGTTCCAGGACAGCCAGGGCTACACAGAGAAACCCTGTCTCGAAACAAAACAAAACAAAACAAAACAAAACAAAACAAAACAAAACAAAACAAAAAGAACACTTGGTGCTCTAGTTGAAGACTTGGATTTGGTTCTCAGAACCCACATGGCAGCCGGGCGGTGGTGGCGCACACCTTTAATCCCAGCACTTGGGAGGCAGAGGCAGGCGGATTTCTGAGTTTCAGGCCAGCCTAGTCTACAGAGTGAGTTCCAGGACAGCCAGGGCTACACAGAGAAACCCTGTCTCGAAAAAACAAAAAAAACAACAACAACAACAGAAAAAAGAACCCACATGACAGCTCCACAGTAACTCCAGCTCCCGGGGATCTGACATCCTCTTCTGGCATCCTCAGGCACCAGTCACCCACATACACTCATACACATGAAATAAAAATCTTTAAAAAAAAAAAAAAAAAAAAAGCAAAGGCAACAAAACAAAGTCCAAGGTCACCCTCAGCAACCCGATAACTCCCAAATGCCTCCCTTTGAGACAGGGTGATGTGTTTGGTTATGTTCTATGGAGGGGTAGTGAGGTGTGGGGGAAGGGAATGACTGAGACATCCCTTCCCCCTGAGGGACCAGCCACATGACTGGTCTATAAACTCTATAGTATAGAATAGAGGTTTTTCAGGGCATGGGGAGGGGAGTTAAGAGGGTAGTAGAGGCAGAGAGAGAGAGGAGAAGGGAAGGGGGTGGGTGGGAAGAGCGAGAGAGCGAGAGCCCAAGAGAGCAAGAACAAGCGAGGGAGGAGGGGCAAGCAGCCCCTTTTATAGTGGGTCGGCCTACCTGGCTGTTGCCAGGTAACTAGGGGGTGGAGTTTAGTCAGAATGCTAACACGGGGTCTCTCTGGGAATCCCCACCCGTCCTTGAACTCTCTCGGTAGACCCGGTCAGCCTCCTGAGTGCTGGAATTAAAAATTCAAGCCAGGTCACCTCTCGTAACCCTATCTTAAAAGAGAAAAGAATGGAGTCACTCTAAAATGTACGGTCCCAGGATAAACTGAAACTGGGAGGAGCCGGGTGTAGCGGCCCACATCCTTAATCCAGCACCCGGGATGCAGAAGCAGGCAGAACTAGCCTATATAGTAGGTTCCAGGAGAGCCAGAGTTTTACAGCGAGACCCTAACAAAACAACCAGATAGACAGACAAAACCAGGGTACCGTAGAGCCACATCTCCCAGCCGGCTCTTCAACTAGCATAGAAGGTTCTTCTGCCTTTAACAATTTCTAAGATAGTCTGATGTCAGTCAGTTTTCTATTGTCCGTCCCCACTTGGGAGGGAAAGTGACTTTGGAGTGACAGGTGTGACACTGCCGGCTTAGTGTTGTTACTTGTTTGATTTTGATGCTTTTTTAGCTTTTCTCCGCCTTTTTCCTGTCTATAAAACACAGCTCCTGCACCCGGCTCGGGAAGCGCAGTCCTGACAAACTGTTGCCTGACCTCTTGACAAAAAAACAAAGCAAATTCAAATCTTCAGGGCCCCAGGGATCACGCCAAGTGGTGCGGTGGCGCTGGTCTGTGCAAGATTCTGGGTTTGATCTCTAAAGGAACAAGAGAAAGTTGTAGCTACATTCCATATCAACAATCAGAGGAGCGACTTGCTTCCCCAGGTGTTTGTGATAATAAGCCTTGCCTGCTGACACTTTATTAACTGCTCCTGTGGAAGAATTTTTAGGTTTTTTGTTTTGTTTTGTTTTGTTTTGTTTTGGCTGGGAGTAGTGGCATTTGAATTTAACCCCAGCACTTGGGAGGCACAGGTAGGTGGATTGCTGAATTCAAGTCCAGCCTGGCTGGGGGTGTGGGGGGTGTGTGGGGGGGTGGCACACGCCTTTAATCCCAGCACTTGGGAGGCAGAGGCAGGCGGATTTCTGAGTTCGAGGCCAGCCTGGTCTACAGAGTGAGTTCCAGGACAGCCAGGGCTGCACAGAGAAACCCTGTCTCCAAGAAAAAAACAAAACAAACAAAAAAAGAAAAAATCAAGTCCAGCCTGGTCTACAGAGTGAGTTTCAGGACAGCCAGGGTTATACAGAGAAACCCTGTCTGGACAAACCAAAAATGAGAGAGAGGAGAGAGAGAGAGAGAGAGAGAGAGAGAGAGAGAGAGAGAGAGTGTAAGGGGCTTTTTGTTTGTGTCGCTGACCTGTACAAAATGCAGGAGAGGCACTGTTAGTGGACGTGGTTTGTGGAAGTGGGGAAAGGGAAGGAGGAGACTTGCCTTCCCCCTGGCAACCCCAGAAGCCCAGGCTACTGTCTTATCTACTGAGGGTCTCCAAGCGATGGGCAAAGCGTCTATGCCTTTGAAAGCCACTCCAAATTCTCATTGCAGTGTGAACCTAGACCCATATAGCCCAACACTTTGCCTTGAGATGAAAACAAGCCAAACATGGGGGTGGGTGGAGCGTAGCGTGGGGTGTGTGTGTCAATGGTGCTTTACAAGTCTCACCTCCCACCTCCCGCCCCCCCAGAAAGGGTCTCACAGTACAGATTCTATTCAGACCACACTAAATTTTCTTCACATGCAAACAGGCAGGCGAAGCAGACCCATGGATTTGCAAACAGGAGTGTGCCAGAATCACTTAGGAGAACCCAGTCACTTGATTCTGTTTGGTCTTCTCAGTGCAAGGAATTGAGTCAGGGTCTGATAACTGCTAGGCAAGCAAGCCAACACTCTCCGTGGTGGAGTGCCTGCCCATTCTCCAACCTAAACCCGAACGAAAGATGCATGATTTTTTTTTTTTAATAATACGTAGAGTATGATTTGTTTCTATGTGTGAGGCTCATCTGGATGCATTTCTGTACACCGTGTGTGTAGTGCCCACAGAAGCCAGCACTGGATCCTCTGGAACTGGAGTTACAGACTGTTAGCTGTCATGTGGGTTCTGGAACTGAACTGAGGTTCTCTGGGTGCTCTTAACCCCTAAACACATCGCTTCAGCCCCCCAGTATAACTTGTTTTTAGTGATATTCTCCCCTCTCCGAGATAGTTCACATCGAGTAGAAAGGCGGGAACGGAGCGTTTCTATCCATTTATTTCGTTTATTCAGAGAATTCCTGGTGTTTAAACCTAGCTACTGTCTGGGCGTGGTGGGCTCGCCGTTAATCTCTACACTCTGGATGCAGACGCTGGAGAGTTTCTGTGAGTTCCTTGCCCTCCTGGTCTACTTAATGCGCCTTTGTCTAAAAGTAAGTAACAAGTAAAAAACACAAGTCTATCAACCACACTGCTCATTCTTGAGCCCAGGCAGTGGCACTTTAAAAGTTGCCATCCCACTGCTAGTTTATACTAACAGGTCAATGACAGCTGGAAACCCAGG